CAATTTATAAAATAATACTCAATTGGACATGATTACTTTTTCTTACCAAAAGACAGTGAATTTCTTATATTCATACATCAGGTTCGTTCGGCTGTTCGGAATACAAATATTGAAACAGAATGATGGTCCAGTCGATAGTAAAGGTTAAACTAATTCTAATAACTTTTACTTAAATGCGATGTTTAAAATAATCTATTTTCCTCGTAGTTTATACGATTTGTTGAAAAAATATAAACACTTTATCATCACATAAAAGCAATTATTTAATCGTTTTACAAGAATTTTGGGACGCAATTAAAAGAAAATTATAGACCTATAAATTCTGACTGTTGTCTCTGTGGCCGTCTGCCTGTCTTCTTTAATTCTATAAAACGGAGTAAGAAAAATAAAAGATGAGGCAAGGTGGGGAAATCCTAGTGCCAGTATATAAATTTCTGAGACAAACCGAAAACACTTTATTTTACTTTGAACGTATTCCTCTGAAAAGTGTAGATAGATGACCTGCACAACTCTACTGTTAGAAAGAAATATAATGTACAGAAAGAAAACACTACTAATTTCAGAAAGAGAAAATAGATTTTATATTAAATTAAATAAATGAAAAATATGATTAAAAATTACAATTCGGAATTTTGATTACGTCACAATAAATAGTTTAATCAATCAATTCTTTCAAACGTTAACTTTCACAACTTCACGGAGTCATCACAACCTGTCCAACAAGGATCACTTCTCAAATATTAATATTCGGCTGCGAATGGTACAGTTCCTTAGAGTTAATATTAGGGAAGAAATGATATCTTAAATATTTTAAGATATTATATGTCTATTTTAATTGCTTACTACTTGATTGATGAAATTGCGTTATTTCGTAATTTCCGACTACCGCGATAAACGTAACAATGGGAGGCTGATATAACCAAACACATTTTATGCTTTTCGTTTTAGTGTTCGTTATATTGTAATATTTGATTTATATAACTACAAAGGTTATCTTAAGGAAGAGTTTATCACGTCGTGTGACAAATCTCAGACATTTTTTAAAAGTTTTTTACTTCTATTGTACTGTTTATAATTTAAAAAAAAATTTAAATATGTTAGATTGTGATAAACTTTTATGTAAATTAATTTTTCTAAATATAAATCAAAAGTAAACAGAAATTCCGAGTAAGAGATTGAAAATTCGGCAGGAAAATTCTGAGATTACAAAAATTTAAGAAGGAAAGTTTACATATTCTTCACAATTACTTTTATAATATACTGTATAATTTGAAATATTTTGATAAAAATAATGAACAATAATCATCCTTTAAAGGTACAACATATGCATTGAATATCAGACAAAAGACAAATTCGCCGTTCAAGAAACGAACAGTAGCAAATATTGTTTGTAATAAATTAATTCTGACTGCTGTGTATTTACTCCGATTGCGTTCCGGCACGTGGTTCATTGGCGTCACAAGACACAGTGAATTACAAATGCACTTGTCCAGCATCTTGACCTGACGAAGGAGCGATATCTCGTGGTAAAAAAACAGAACTGTGAATACAGCCATCGTTCCGTAATTATCCGCTAGTTACGCTATGTAGATGGTTTTAGTTTAAATCTCTGCTATTGTTGAAGTACAGTTTTCTGTAAACAAAAGTATTAGTATTACTCGTATGCATTACATTAGCATTCAAAAATATACACTGATACTTACATAAAAAATTTTAATAACGTCTCTAAGAACAGCGAAAGAGCAAGAAAGAAAAATATAATGACTCGTGAGATGTATCGATAAAATCTGTGTCCTATAAAAATTATCGACGCGTTATATGCCATCAGATGACGAAAGTATAGATGATGATTTAGATGAAACAAAACAAGAAGATAGCCTGATTAAAAAATGTTGAAAAAAAGAAAACACAAAGGTTTTAAAAAACAAGTCAAACTGATGTTCTATCAGATAATTTTTAAACAAAGAAAGTCATAAAAAATGTAATATATGTTAAAAAAGTAAACTAGAAACGTGTACTTTGTCTGGAGCAAAAGTTTACAATCAAATCTCCAACAACTGTTGGATTACGCCATTATTTTATTTCTAAATAAAATGATGTAAAAAGTACTGATGAAACTCAACAGGTTTTCTCTGTAATTAAAGAAATATTTTTATCGTTCAAAGTCATAAATTCATCAATGAAAATCAAGCGACTCGTTGCAATTGCGAATAAATTAGGAAATTAAGACCAAAACAGTCAGTTGTTAAAACTTCTATTAAAATATAAAAATTATTTTATGATTATGGTGCACATTTGTTTGTCTCTGTACGTATCATTATCCGTTGATGTTACTTTATACAACTTTATAAATGAACTAAACGAAATACTCTACTATTGCCTTCGTATCAATGTTTATTTTAATTAAAATTTTAAAAATGAAATTAATAAAATATTGGCTGATCCTTTTATAATTATAAAATTATCAAGAAATCGCACACAAAAGTCAGTTAACCTATATATATAGAGCATGAAAACAACAGTTTCTTCCAAACCGAGTTTTTTAATATTTAATCGATTCATTGGTGAAAGCCTGTTCTGAATTACTTCTTAATATTTCAGAATTGACTTTAAAAAATTTAGTACTTATTTTTCATGCAGTACAACTTCTAATTGACAATGTCTACCCGTTTTCAACAGAGATTGACATATCAAAGGTTATTTTTAATGAGAAACGAATAAAATTCACGCTAGACTTTAGCGAATGCCGGCAAATTAGAAATGTTCACGTTGATTGCACTATTAATTTAAAAAATAACTTGCCTCTGAAAGACTTATGTTTCTATACTGTAAAGTTTCGTTAAAAACGTACATTTACTTTGTTCATCGTCATTCAATTTTCGACCAAATTGTGAATTTTGTATTAATTTTCTGAACTAATTTTCAACAAATATTTCTTTTTTCATTAAGCTTAGGTTCACTTGTTTTTGGAAAATATCTGTGTAATCCGACTCGCACTCCGGTTAAAACACTAAAACTTCACGACTCTTACTCCGTCTCCTACTTTGACTCCACAGCTATGGATTTTACTAAGAAGTCATTTTTATATTATTAATTATTACAAAGAGACATAAATTTTCAAAATATTGCAAATGTCAATCAAAAATAAAAATTTACATTAAGTTTGTCATTACGCCAGTTATATATTTAACCTATGACCCCTCTCTCGCTCTGTATTATCCTGATGAATTAATACTTCTGACTTCTTTTCATTTATTCTACATATATTGCAACACTTAATAGAGAAGTTTGAAGTTCTTTAGAGAAAGATATTTAATGTTTAAATCTTTACTTTCGTTGTTTTTAAGTATCTTTGTCGATAATTACGTGAAATATTTCATGTATGAAGACTTTGAAAAAATAGTTGAGAAAAGATATGTTAGTGGTGTCGATCAAACAAGAAAATCACCAGATATTATTACATGCCTCTAAATATAAAATATCTAAATTATCGTGAAGTGTTCCAAGAACTTGTTCGACTTAAAGTAAAATAAGTGATTTTAATTTTTTAAAATTTAATGACATTTCTGTATTCATTTATATTTCACATAAACATTTCGGTCTCGGTACGAATTTAATTTCTTTTGCATATAAAGAAAGTTGAAAATGTGATCTCTCTGTTTAATGGGTCATTAATGTTGTTATAATTGGTGGAAACAGATGGATCGAACATGCAGATTCCACGTGCATGCGTTGTACCTGTTCGCATTGGATGTGTGTAAATATCGACTTCTGCTCGTGGTAACTCATTCTAAACTCGTTTAGATACCATCGAAGATGAACTCGTTGTTGATCATCACTGCTTGTTTGGCCCTGGTCGGTGAGTATGAACTTATAATTGATGACATTAGTTGTTAATTTTTTAAATGGCATCATTTTTTAAAAAGTTACGAAATTCGCGTTATAGTTGTTACATTATATTGTATTTTTTTTAGGAAATGAAAACACTCACAGATTATAGCTTGTTTTTTCATATATGACATAAATCGAAATTCATATTGACAGAAATATTTCGTTGAAAAATTATAAAATTTCGAATAAACTCATCATAGTGTTTAAAAAATTAGATCGATTTCTATTAAATTGATCGAAATGCCATAAATTCCATTAAAGTTGAATTATTTACGTATTATGAGATCTGCACTCGATTCGTGGATGGCAATGCAACACAACGGCAATTTGCCTAGAAAGTATTCTTTTTAGAGGGATATTCTACGAATCACTAATCTCCATTATTTTAATCTGTATTCTGTACTATTCTACTACTTCAATCTCTTATTTAAGAGTTAGAACTGTAAAGTAAATTAGTTTAATGGTGTTTTTGCTTGACCAGTGATGGTTTTTTTATTTAAGTATGATTATGTTGACCTGTCTAAATGAGTGGCAATTATTATAGTTTAGTAATTCCTTTTTGATTTATAGAATTCTCTAAACATTTGCAGTCAAGCTATCCGTTGACTTGAGAGAATTGTGTTAAACGAAGAACATCATAAATTCAGATTTACAAAAAATTGCATCCACAAGATTTTCATTATAATGTCGTTTTCCTGGCTCGATAAGTCGCTGATAGCAAGTGACACATCATCTCGCTAGTGTTTAAAATAGCATGTTTATAATTAGGACTGTATTCAGTTTTTATACTTCATTTGGCACAATAATAATGTAGTTTTTTGACACATTTGAGTGCAAAGCATTAAATATTTTAATTTTATAGTATTAATAAGTATTATTTCTTACGGTTGAAAAAGACTATTTCTTTGTATTTGTTGCAGGAACAGTCTGGGCAAAGGAAGGTTATCTGGTGGAGATGAGCACGGGCTGCAAATACGAATGCTTTAAATTGGGAGACAACGATTATTGCTTGAGGGAATGCAAAGCGAGATACGGAAAAGGTAGTGGCGGCTATTGCTACGCTTTTGGGTGCTGGTGCACACACTTGTACGNGTGTGTGGGCCTCGGGATCATCGGTATCGACGAATTTGCTCAGAAAATAAAATAAAAATGTCACTTTTCAATAACGCCTGCTCATTTCTTTCACATAACACATTGCAAGCTTTATCTTCCTTATCTTTCGGGGCCCGCTGTCTGTGATTGACGGTCTTATGTTCAGAGAAGCCCATCGTCGTACAACCGCGATATTGGGCCGCGCTGTCAGAAACAATGATGGTACCGGGGGCGATGTATCTGAGCATGTGGCTCCAGAGAATCCATCGTCTCTCTTTGTCCACCTGAAAGAATATGAGAAACTATAACAAAACTCTCATTAAAAATGAAAGGAAATAATAATGTTTGGCTACTCCTTACATGCCAGTACATCACCTCCCGTGTTTCCCGACTATAGGCACCGAAGATGGTGATTTGGGTGCCTTTAGTTACGCAGCCATGGTTGTATTTTTGCCTCCGGGTGAAGGTCTCATCGGTCTGAAAATAAAACACACAAATATAGAAAGAAACATTTCGGCAAAGTCAGAAACGTGGGTCGATGGTCACCTCGACGTGCATCTCTTTACTTCCAAGCTTCATTTCTTGCTGGTAAGAGAAGAAAACCTCTGCAAATTTATGACTGTAATTGTACCAATCTACCGCTGTTTTGGGGGCCACGCCGCATTCCTCCACAGCGACGGTGACCGGCTCCTGATGACCCAAGAACATACAAGCATCGGCAACTGTAAAATAGAAACAAAACACAAATCATCTCAAGCCATACGATCAAATTAAAGAAATGCATAGCGTAACATAACCCAGAGAAAAAAAAACCACCGTTTGTCAGAAAAATTTGTCTTTACACTTTTTTCCGAGACTACAAATATTCGAGAACAAAGTAACCGGTTTCGACTTATTTCTACTTAAGAAGTAGTTACATAATTAAGCGATTAGGGAATTGGAAACATAAACAAATCCCTGAGGAAAGAGCCGAAATTTTACTTAAACTAAAGCTTAACCTGACCATTTCTAGCCGAGTACAGTGTATTCTGATTTCTTCGTATTATCTATACTAATATTTTAAAGAGGTAATGTATGTATGTATGTATGTATGTATGTATGTTAAGTTTGTTTGCAGCAGGTAATCTCCGAAAGTACTCATCCGATTTCAAAAATTCTTTCAAGAATATTTAGAATGGAACCTCAGGGTGAACATAGGTTGTATATTATTCCGTTAAACATTCATATAGATTAAAATATATTATCTAGTTTAAGGCTTTTATGTCCAACAGATGGCGCTACGAGTACGACGACCTAAGTTTGCTTTTCTGTGAGGCATTATGCTTTTCTGTGAGAATGAACTAAAGCAGATCATTTTCTATCTATCTATATTAATAAAAATGTAATGTTTGTTCGTTCCTACCGATTCCTTTGAAATTTTGACACAATGCTGCATACGAATATGCACGTGTTTTTATATAATATACGTGTCGAAATTCCCACTACTGAAGGGAGATGGTTAGGATTAAGGCTTACCGTAAAGAACTCTGCTTCTATTTATACTATTTTAGATGCGGTTTTTTGCGTTTTAATAGGGTACGTCAACAGAATGTACACTAAGAAGAAATTTTTCGAAAAATTCCCCCCCCACGGGGAAGTGTTATAATTTATAATAGATACATTTTGAGCCACAACAACGCATGGCGGGGTCTGCTAGTTAATGTAATAAAAACAGAAATTTTTCTGGTTTAATGAAAGTGACCGAAAAGTTGTAAATTTTGGAAATTTGCGAAGACACTTGGTCCTAAAACGATTTAGTTAGAAAACAAATGACTTTTAAGCTTATAATATGTAGATTTTTACAGCTATGGTGAGAAATGTTTAAAATTTACAACAGCCCTGATATCCTTTGAGTTATCTAGTGATGCGACAAAAGAGGTACTTGACATTGACCGGTATCGGCACCCTCGGGATTTGGCAGTCTGCCTGTATGCATGCTCTGCAACCGTCTTCGATTCCATTTATTAGCCACTCGTAGGGAGCTATTGCATTGTTTTAAGATTTAAAAAGTAAAGAATATTTTATATTTTTATGTACGTTTCTATACAAAGCTACATTTAATTATAATTTTTTTTTTAAATATATTTATACAATTAAAGAATATTTTGTACCATTGTACCAGGTATGTACCGGTACAGTACATCCACCACACATTTCATTTCACCGAGTAAGTTTTTATTATTTTATTTTTAATTGTAGCCCTTATATCGAGGATAGCGATTCGGAAATGTAATTGTGATAATAAAAACGCATTTAGAAAGGTTTTTACTGGCTTATCGAATGAACGACGTTGAATGAACCCTAGACCATGACTGACGCGCAATTGACTGATTCCTCTGGATGTCGGCTTCTTACATAAACACAGCTTCGCTATCATCAAATGTCACGGCACGCTACTGTACAACACTCCTCTATCGAGAGTGAGAATGAGAAGACACGCACATAGTTCCGAAAAAATAATTTACTAGTGATGTAACGAATATTCGGTTACTATTCGGTATTCGGCTTATTCCCCCTATTTTTCACTATTCGGCCGAATAACGAATACCTAAAAACAGGAGTAATAAATAACAAAAACACAATAAATTAATCATTTTGGTATTTAGATTTAATGTTATCGAGTTAGTGTTGTTTGTTTATATTTATTTATAACTTGTAACATGCACAAAATAAAAAAGAAAATAATATTAATCACATGTATTCACAATTTATAATTACAAAGATCAGCACACGTACACGTCTACCGTTGGAGAATCCTCGCACATCTGAGGGTCTGACCCTGCCTATCCTTCTTTTTAAGCGCTTGTCTTTGCTCTTCCCTTTCTCTTTCCTCTATCGCTCTAATCCATGTATGCCTGTGCATACATCATAATACGCGCTCACGATACTTTCGATTCGTCACTTTTCCGTCATAGAGTTCCCATTTTACAATTACGTGACTCAGCCTGGTGATAACGGAGAAAAGAGACAGATAGGACGTCGACATAAGTCACAGTTATAATTTCACAGATTCGAGGCAGCTTGATAGCCCGAACGGCCCCAGGCTTTCGCCAGTGCAGGCTAAGTGACTTACATTACAAGCATTTAGCTTTCCGAAGTCTATGACAACAATTGTTTGGCACGGACGGCCGCGAATTTCGTGCCAATAAGCTGCCTCGACTTGTTCGATTATGTTATCGACTCAATTTCATATTAATTTTCACATTTTTACTTCTGGGTCCTTCTCTGTTCTTCTTCCGTTATTTACACGCGTAGGTCATTTCATTTTTATCCACATTTGATATCATCATTTATCACATACTTCCATGACACTCTTGACTGTCCACTACAACTGCCAAGAATTAACGCGATTGGCGAAGCGTAGTGACAGCGGGCCAATAGAAGGCAGGATCCTTGCCATAATGCGGTTTACGCGCCAATTTTCGTACCTGTGTTAATCGAGCCGAATAGTTTGGCCGAATATTCGGCTATTCGGCCACGCTCCTGGCCGAATATTCGGTATTCGGCCTGAGGCCGAATATAGTATTCGTTACAACACTATAATTTACACATTCTTTTTAGCCAAAGTACGTAAACTCTAATCTAGATGTTCATAAAGTACAGACAAACCACTATTATTCGATGACTTTATCCATTCGACTTTTGTAAAGCATAGTTCCATTTATTTCCATTTGTTTAATGAGCCTACAGTTATAATTTCCTACATTTGGGAAGAAGTATTATATTTGAAACGAACGTCAAACAAAACATTTCTTCTTTTGTTACAAAGCGACACTTAAGTAAAAAAAGGAAGATAAAATAGAATATAAACCGCTCACCACCTGCAAATATATAAGAATTAAATTAAATTCCAGTTTCAATATTTTATAGGAATTACAAATTTATGACCCTCAATGCATTTGCTGAGAGAATTACTGTATTTTAATTAATAACGTTTTCAGCCTACTATTATAGGCCATCATCAGGTTTGTTAAAACCGTTTTTAGAGACTGTTCCACAAGTAGAACATTCCATTTAAATTTTAATTTTTGAAAAATTCTAAATACAAAATTTAAATGTAAACGAGTTTACATTTAAATTTTACATCCTACTTATTTCTTCGTATTATATTTAGTAGTTTACGTTTATTTAGTAGTATACGTTTACGTTTATGTTTACGTATATTTAGTAGTTTAGTTTATTATAGGTGATGCCAGTGGAAAAAAACACCTTCCAACAACACAATAAAACCCACGTAAAAGTAAAAAATAAACAATAAATTTGAACAATATATACACAATATATGCAAACTCAACAGGCATTCGAAGATGGGCACTATTCTGATACATTTCTTTTTAATTGTGTTTTATTTATATTTTTTTCCTAATTTTTTCACGTTAAATCTTGTGTAACGAAAGTACTAATTAGTGTAGAGCATTCCATTATTTTTATCTTTTGCTTGAAAGTACATAGTATAGTTAGATCCACGTGCACTGAATGCATCTATTGTACTTTGAATAGTTTTTATGACAAAATTTTGTTCAAACTATGGAAAATTGAAACTATCGTGTCATAGAAGGACACCATCGTATTTTTATTTACTCCATCTTTAGATTTTGTGTTTTCTGGATTAGTAAAATATAAGAAAGCGTCAAATTTTTATACAAAGTGTGATCACATTTTAAGAAACGTCTTTCGTCTAAACGAAAACTTAAAATATTTGAGATTATTTTTCACTTAAAATGATGACAATATAATATATATGAGAAAATATTGTTATTCTCTTATCTTCTGCTTCTTCCACTGGCAAGCAGACAACCAAAGTCGCAATATATAGTTTGTTCAGAAGAGTGAACTGTATACTTTTCATATATGACATCGGATAAACTAATTGCAAGTATTTAATAAAGCTGTTTACAATTATTTTTTACTAGAGACTTTTTGTCATGCTTTCTTAAATTGGAACTGCATTGCTTATACTAATTGCCATTGTTTCAAATGTTAATAATGTTAACCATTATATGCATTGCACGGAATTTATAAAGTTTCTTATCATTTCCAATGCACTGTACTTAACATAAGATTAATATATGCTAAGATTATTCTGTTATCGTGTTTCGATCCCTTTTTATTGATAAAAATCTTTATTTAATAAAGATTTTTATCAGTAAAAAGGTTGTGAATGTATATAAAGGTTAACATTATTAACATTTGAAACAATAGCAATTAGTACAATCAATGCAGTTTCAATTTAAGAAAACATGACAAAAAGTCTGTAGTAAAAAATAATTGTAAACAGATTTATTAAATACTTGTAATTAGTTTATCCGATGTGATATATGAAAAGTGTACAGTTCACTCTTCTGAACAAACCATATATCGCGGCTTCGGTTTTCTGCTTGCCAGTGGAAGTAGCAGAAGATAAGAGAATAACAATATTTTCTCATATATATTCCATTTTCATCATTTTAAGTTAAAAGTAATATCTAATATTTTAAGTTTTCGTTTCGACGAAAGATGTTTCTTAAAATGTGATCACAACTTGTATAAAAATTTGACGCTTTTTTCAATTTTACTAATTCAGAAACACAAAATGTAGAGAAGGAGCAATCTACAAACAAAAATACGATGGTCTCTATGTCACGATAGTTTAAATTTTGCATAATTTGAACAAAATTTTGTCATAGAAACTATTCAAAATACA